GCATCAGTTGACGTAATCGAATTCCAGACTTACGGACGCATATTCAAGCTTAGACCTAACTAACGTAGTGTACAAGCTGAACATACATAATGACAATAGATTAATAATAATATCAAGAAAAATTTAAGTTATCGTTAACAGGAAAGAACAATAAAATGAGACCACATATACACAAGTAATATTAAGAGTATCATTAACAAATATTATTAACAATCTTAGATTCAGTGTCATTGACAGAAACTGTTCCGATTGCAAATATGTCGAGATCTTTACCCACCGCGTTGGCAGCATAGGCGCACCGAGCAGAAGGACAGTGTTTATTAGAGGGACAACACCAAACAATGAGAAGTCTCTAAGATTGCTGGGAGGAACACGAAGGCTAATATTTTCCAAAAGAGAAGCGCAGGGAAAGACCTGAACAAGAAAAAGTGCATCAGGTGATATCTCCGTGTATGTAAAGATGACGGACTTAATTTCTCTAAAGCATCAGTATAATTATATGAAATATGAGGGAAAAGACGGACGCAAACTTCTGCTGGATGAGCTCAAGCTTATTGGCATCAGTCGAGGTGATGGAGTTCCAAACTACTGAGGCATATTCCAACTTGGACCTGACTAAAGTAAAATATAGTACATACAGACTCTCCATGGAGGAAAACCTGTAGGTAATGGAGCGAATAAGGCCTAAAAGCTTTATGCATTCAGAAAATATGTAATTAACATGTGTGTGAAAATGTATCTTTGAATCAAAGAAAACACCCAGGTCCTTAATACTACTGGTGCGTGTAATGATAGCATGACAAAGCTGATACTCGTGGTTCAGAAAATTTGTTTTTCTTGTGTATGATACAACACGCGTTTTAGCAATATTAAGTTTCATGGAGTTAGCAGTGCACCAGTCACTTACGGAATTAATGTCAGATTGAAGTAAGAGGCAATCATGTGGAGAGTTAATAATGCGGAGAATTTTTAGATCATCGGCAAAAATTAGAAATTTACAGTAGTTAACGGAGTCGCATAGGTCATTTATAAATACTGTTAACGTGTTGGGAATCCAGAAGACTCACTTCTATGGAAACGCTAGAACAGACCGTTGCATAGGAAACAACAATCGCTCTATTGTAGTTCTAACAGGAGTCTCCACGGGTATAACAGAGGGTTCGTTGCATAGCAACGACCGAGGTTATAAAACGGGGTTGAATGCATTCGCACAGTCAATCTGCTAGAAACCGCCAGAGAAGACAGTCCAATATTGCCGAGATATTGTGTAAGCAGTGATTGTAACACTGCAAGAGCTAATGATTGTAAAGTGTGTAAGGTGAGCGAGCGGAATAAATTCGCTATATCAAACACGGCGTAAACTTATTTGTAGCGTGACACACACAAAACGCGCTACAATACGTTGAAAAGAAAAGGCCCCAGAACAGAGCCTTGCGGCACCCCGGACGTTACAAGAAAAGGCAGCGAGATTGTGCCAGAAACGCGAACCCGAGATGATGATGATGATGATGATGATGATGATGATGATGATGAT